CAAAGGAGAAAGGTGTCAGTGCCCGAATTCGCGTTTCACCCTCAACGGCGCTACAACAACAACAACAATCGACCGAAATTATACCTCCGTTCTGCACCTCGGCAAGACTTCAGGGCACCCTCGTACGCACTGCCCAATCGACAAACACCAATTTCGCCCTTCAAGCAGTCAAGCGCTTCAACGCAAGCAAACCCGACAACTTCAGTCCACGTCCTCAACAGCATCAACGGGACAACCTGCAAAAGAAAACAGAAACAGCGTCAGCTGCATGGCAAGGCTGAGTGACTCCTGCGTAACTGAGTCACCACCATATTACTCACCATAAGAACAACTCGCCAACGGTACGCCTCGCCGCGAGTCACTCCAACCAAACCCGATCTACGCCGCCATCGCCCAAAGCGAGCCGTCCGGGAAGGATACATGGTTCTTGGACAGTTGCTGCGGACAACACATGTGCTCTTCAGGACGTTTCGTTCAACGCGAGCACCAACTTCAACGAGAAGTCGTCATCACTGTCGTCAACAACCAGAACCTGCGCACACGACGACAAGGGGTAGTGCAACTTCAGTCACGAGAGACAAATGTCGTACTACAAATGTCAAAAGTCCTGATAGAAGAAGGACTTGGCTACAACTTACTGAGCGTTAGTCAGTTGATGGCGAAAGGCATACATCTGGAAGCCGACAGTACCACCCAGAGTTCAAAACTGTACCACGGGAAGGGCGGCCTCTACATCCGAAAGGTGATTCTGAAGAACAATGTCTTCGTCCTCGACTTCGTCCCCAGACCTGGGCACCGCAGACAGTGACGGGATCGTCACCTTCACATCCTGGACGACACCCGCCGAATCTCGACCCCGACTTCAGTCCGAAAGGCTTCTGGTATTCACATACCATTCCTGAAGCAGAAACGAACACGTGCTCGTTTAGTAACAATACAACATTCGGCAGCAGCAGAGACTAACATCGGCAGCAGCAGAGACAACATCGGCAACAGCAGAGACAACATCGGCAGCAGTAGAGGACAACATTCAGCAGCAGCAGAAACATCATCGGCAGCAGCAGAGACAACATCGGCAGCACAGCAGAAACATTGTCGGCATCAGCAGGAACAACGACACTAGTCCTCGTTGACGAAGCACCACCAACACCCGCACAACAGCTGAATCCCGACTCAACGGTAAGTCCACAGAAGCGCAAACTTCATCGCCAGCTCTACTCCAACTCCGACGCGTATCGGACGCTCACTCGGACACCGCGCCTCCGAAGATATCTGGCACGCACGCATGGGACACCCAAGCAACACTGTGTTTAAACAACACAATAAGAGCAGGAGTTCCTTGACAAGGACTCATTACTACTACTCGACGGCAGAGAACTTCAACGAGCTCGAGGAACTTGTCTTACCTGCCCCGACGAAGCCGACTTACTACATCGGCGTTCATTCCTCATCACAACCCGAGCGCACCCGCGTACGCACCACTCGAGAAGGTGTACAGCGATAGCCTGTTATCAATCGGGGAACCAGGACAAGTTACATACTATTACACGATCACCTTCATCGACGCTGCCACCCGTACGTCTGGCACCTAAACCTACTAGCCGCGACATGGCACTCGCAGCCTTCGCTGCTTGGCTACCAGTAGCAGAGAGAGAGTCGGGCGTACATCTGAAAAGCTTCCAGTCAGACGAGGGGGAGAATACACTTTCTCAGCGATTCAAGCAGTACCTGGCGGAAAGGGGAATCAAGCAGCTCCTCTCTCTTCCCTACGCCCATCAGCAGCAAGGTGTGGCAGAAAGAATGAACAGGACTCTGCAGAACAGCATGCGCAAACTGCTTACGTGGCATGCGGCTACCCAACCACCAGTGGCCTACAGCAATGGACCATGCTGTCATGCTGCACAACTTGATGTCATCGTCTTCACTTCCAAACAACGCGTCACCGCATCTGCTAAGGACAGGGAAACAGGGCAGCAGAAAAATGTTACGAGTTTCGGGTGCATTGATACAGTACCGACCCCCAGAAGCACGAGCGGGACGATTTTCACAGCGGCGCACAGTGGGGACTACACCTCGGCATCGAAAAGAACTACAAAGCGTGGAAAATCTTCGACGTCCACTCCAAGGAAACAGTAGCAGCACGTCACGTAATTTTCTTACGAACGACTCACGCTTCAAACGTACCTCGCCAACTTGCAAGAAAATGAAGATCCCACAGGTGGCTTTCGTGGTGACCGAAGCCCTCGCCTCAGCAGGCAGACGAAGCAGACTGGGACGAGCAGAATGTGGACAACGCATCAGAAGAAGCCGGGACCTCTCCCGTTCTGCTCCGTCAACGTCCCCATGGACGAAGACAACCCTCGCGAAAGCGCCACAACGCCGAAGTCTTCTACTACTTCGCCGACAACGGTTACGTAACACTTGCGACAGTCAACACCAACGAAGCAGAACGGATAGGGCCGAATTTCATACCCGACCAAGAAGCGGGAGATGAAGCAGCTTATCCCGAGGACGCAACTCTTTCCCCGCTACTCACAGACTGGACTGCAGATTCTCGGCCTCGTCACCGCAGTCCACGGACACCACTCTCCCTAAGGAGCTTGCGACGGTTCAGCAGGCTCTGGGGGGGGAACACAGGGAAAAATGCGTGAAGCTATGGACAGAGAGTTAAAGGCGTTGGAGGAACGGAACACCTGGAAAGTTGTACCCATCAGCGTGGCAAGGAACAAGACCCATTCTCACCGGGAAATGGGTCTTCCGCATTAAAACGAAAGCAGACAGCACAATTGAGAAATTCAAAGCACTGCTGGGTTGTGCGTGGATTCGATCAGGAGCACGGACGGGACTTCGCCCCGGTCAGCCGACATACCTCACTTCGAATTCTCCTCGCGATCGCCGCTATGAAGAAGAAGAAGCTACGGCAAATCGATGTCGCCAACGCGTTCCTCTACGCACCTGTCGACGCGGAAATCTTCGTCGAGCTCCCACACGGTACCCACGGGGAACCGAACTAAGTCTGTCAACTGCTGAAATCACTCTACGGGATCAAAGCACGCTCCGCGGCTATGGCAACAGTACCTACACGCTCGCCTCACTCGCATCGGATTTAGCCAAACTGCCTCACGACCAAGGGAGTACTGACTCACCAAAGACACCGGAATACATTTTGCTGATCGTCTACGTAGACGACTTACCTCTACATCGGCTCTACTGACGACATCACCACCTGGTTCGAAGGGGAGCTACAGAGGGACCTCACACTCACGGTCTCCTCTACCGTCACATAGTACCTCGGCTTAAAATTCGGGGAGGAAGAAGGCTGCGATCTACCTCAACGCCGCTAAGTACGCCGACCACCATCGCCAAACGCTTTGCGGTGACACCTACCACCATCTCTACGCCCTACCGCTACACGACAAGAAACCACAATGAAGGATCCTCTCTACTCAAATCCACCGGGATACGCGACTACCAGAGAAAGCTGGCTGCCTTCTCTTCGCAGCCGTTTACCTGCCGCCCATATCTATCCTACTCCGCAAGTCAACTCGCCACCTACCTCAAAAGACCTGAAGCAGAACACCTGGCGGAGCTCGACCGCGCTCTCCACTACTTTGTCAGTACCTCTACGATCGGTCTGACCTACTACAAGAACACAACTACACCGACGAAATTAATCGCTACGTCGACGCCGATCACGCTGGCGACTCAGACAATAGGCGCTCCTGCACTGGCTACGTCTACCGCCTCGAACCTATCGGACCGATCTCCCTGGCAATCGAGCAAGCAGGAACTAATCGCTCTCTCGTCAGCTGAAGCAGAATGTATTGCACTCTGCTCAGCCACCAAGGAATGACTCTATCTTCGCGAGCTGCTGGAAGAAGCGAAGTTAGCCGAGGTACCCAACTTCACTCTAGTTTTGCGACAACCAATCTGCGATTCGCATCGCCAACAAAAGTGGACTCGCGAACAGAACAAAGCATATCGCTCTGCGATATTTCTTCGTGAAAGACGAGATCGAGAAGGGGAAACTTGAACTATCCTAGCTGTCCCACGTCCGAGATGGCAGCTGACTACTTGACCAAGAAGCTCGGAAAACAGAAGTTCGAGTACTGCATGCTGCTGACTGGACAAAGCCACGTCACCATCAGCGACACTCCAGAAGCGAAGGGGAGTGTTGGGAACAAACAATCTTAAGCGCCTCTGTCGTGTCGAAACACCAAGACACAAGCGAAGCTGCGCATATCGAGGCACCAGCGAGTCAACCCTCGGAGGTTGATGTAACCGCTGGAGGTTACGCGAAAGTCAAAGGTCAGCGACCTTTGACTTGACAAATGCAGCGCGACAGCAAGGACACACAACTGACTCGACATTGAGCAGTTGCCCGAGTCGCACTGTATCGAACCGCAACAGTAAAGTAGTTTTAATTATGTCTCTTCATATTCTATGTATTCATATATATATTCTTGTATCTCTTTGCTTTAATCAACTTACTTTGCCCTCACATACTAGCGCAAGGTGGTTCAAGGACTTCACTTGAAACGCTTCCGCTACTACATCACTTCACTCAAACTTTAACTCTACCAAAGATCCTAAGGGGCACTCAGCCCAACAAGAACAGAATTTCACCTCTGTAAAGATCCTAAGGGCGTTTTCAGCCCAACAAAATGCATAATAAATAGGATATGAATTTCATAAAATCTGCTCTAGGGCAAGGGGTTCCCAGCAGGGAACCACGTGCAGTTCCACACATAGCTGTAGTTCACAAACACGCACTTGCGAGGCCTGGCATTCCAACACGCCGATGGTGCCTTGCACGTTGCACCACCACAGCCTGTAGCCTGGCAGCACATGCACTGGCTGTAGCAATCATTATAGCTGCTGTTCCTCTGAGCCACTGTTTCCACCCAATCCAGCTGCAGTGAGCGTGCACTGCTGCTTGCAGGTGTTCTCCCTGTAACTGCAGCAGGGACCAGAGCTCGTGTCCACCACTTTGGCACAGTCTATTGACTCTGCCGGTGCCCAGCTGGGATACGGGCATATGGCATTGGTGCAGCCGGAGTTAGGAACCGGGGCAAGGCCCATACGACCCTGGCATGCGGGTCCACATGCCCGGTGCAGAAGCTATCGGGGAGAGCTGGAAGTGCGAAGTTGCAGAGAGCATCACAGTATGAGGGGTAGCTGACAAAGTCCGACCCACAGACCGGGATAGAGGCTGCACAGCCGCAGTCCACCATACCGATGCGGCCTATACAGGGGATGATCAGCTTCGTGCCGGGCGCCAGAGGGGCAGATAGATCGGAGATGTAGTTTTGTGCGGCGATGGACTCGGGAGAGACAGAGGTGGGTGTGCAGCGGGGGAGGAAGAGCGAGGAGATGGTGGAGAGGGTATCGTTGGGGCGGACGGTGTAGATGGAGTAGGAGGTGTTGGGAGCTCGCTGCATGGTGGTGAGGACGGGTGAGTCGATGCACACCTGCTGGCCCCACCACCAGATAGGGCGCCTGGCACTGCAACAATGGAAGAGGGGGGGAGTTGGGGAGCAAGGGAGGACAGTAAAGGAAGGAGAGGTAAGGAGGCTGGCAATGGAAGGTGTGAATGAAAAGAGGGAGGCAGGCTGGCAATGGATGCGGAGAGAAGGAAAAGTGTGAAAGATGGCAGCAGTGAGAGCAGCACGGGGGTGGATGGTCAAGTGGTCAACGAAGCACATGCGGGCTAGTGAGAGTCTAAGAGAGCTCTGCCGTATGTCATGGATGGAGTGAGCAACATGGAAACTGAGGTTGCATGGGCCAGCATGGGGTTGTATGAGGCTCTGGAGTGGTATGGGCCAGTATGGGGTTGTATGAGGCTCTGGAGTGTATGGGCCAGTATGGGGTTGTATGAGGCTCTGGAGTGGTATGGGCCAGTATGGGTTGGAATGGGCTCTATCAGGTGGTAAGGAGCGGAATGGGGTGGTATGGGGCGGATGGAGTGGCATGGAGCGGAATGGAGTGGTATGGGGCGGATGGAGTGGCATGGGCGATGGACCAGTACGAGGTGGTATGACCAGGTATGTGAGGCTTAGGAAACTCGCCTGGACACCAGGATGATGGCTCATCTGGATGCTGGGGTATGGGCTGATATGTCAAGTGGGGTCGTTGGCTCACCTGTACATGAAGCTTCTAAGGAAGTTCCCTGGATGCAAGGGTTGATGGCTCACCTGAATGCCCGGGTTGATGGCTCACCTGAATGCTGGGGTTGATGGTTTGCCTGCATGTGTCTGCGAAGCCTAAGGCATGTACCTGAATGCCAGGGTTCATGGTTTACCTGGATGCAAGGGTTGATGGCTCACCTGAATGCTGGGGTTGATCGTTTTGCCTGCATGTGTCTGCGAAGCCTAAGGCATGTACCTGAATGCCAGGGTTCATGGTTTACCTGGATGCCCGGGTTGATGGCTCACCTGAACGCCCAGGTTGATGGCTCACCTGAATGCCCGGGTTGAATGGCTTGGAACATGGACATGGTGAGGTTGGCTCCATTCCAGATGGAGGGGCATGTGTCGCCCTGCATCACCCGGTACCACCCCGTGCAGTTGATGGTGGTCTGGGGACGGCCAGAGGGGGGATGAGGGGGGAGGACGAGACAAAGATGAGAAAAGAGAAGCGGCAATACGCCCTGCCAGTACCACCCCGTGCAGCTGATGGCGGTCTGGTGACAGAAACCACAGGGGGGATATAACAGGGGAAAGGAGACAGAGATAAGGGAAAGCAAGACGACGAGGGAGAAAAAAAGGGGGCAAGGGGAAAACGGAATGATAAGGGAAGGAATGAAAAGGTGCTAGTAGACAACAAACTTGCCACTGATCAAGAGAGGGGCAGAAAGGTTATTAACAAATGAAATGAAAACTATCACGCTGATGCTTACATCTGATGATTTTGGTGCCACACAGACATAGGATCCAACCAGCAGTGGGCTGTCACAGTTGAGACCTGGATTCAGTCTGCATGGGAGGTATTGGAAAAGAAAGAAGACATACACGATAGAAACACCTGAAATACTTGCAATGGATGTCGGGGAGGTAGAGAACAGTAGCCAATACATGAAGAGAAAGAGCAATTAAGGCAAGAACATCAGTCAAACGAGCAAAACAAAAACAAAGGTGAGATCTAGGAGTCAAAACTCACGAGCTGAAGGTTGAGGAGCTGATCATGTATTTGATGGAGACAGAAGCACACGTATCACCCATGACCACTGCAACGCTCTGTCCGCACTGTGGACCCGATGTGGTGGATGATGATGAATCCGCTTTAAGGCAAATTTGTTGTGATTTAAAGAGACGGTTGCACGTCAATCCAGGATTTAGGTTGTCTAGTGCTGTGAGAGAACCACCAAAGAAAAGGTGGGCGATGGAATTGCAGGTGTCAGAAGGTTGAACCGTGTATGTGCTTGTGCAGAACGTGGATGTGGCTGTTAGTGCTCTTGAAACAGTCAGCCCAACACCCGGAGGCAAGTATTCCGTAACGGAGCAGTTGATAAACGGGTTCAGTGCCGATAGGGTGGTTGTTGAAATCCCGAATTCTGTCGCGACCAGCGTGCAGTTATCGCCGGGTAGTGTAACATACGACTTCGTAAGACCAGCAGCAGGCAAGCAGGTTGTCGAACCATCCACCGCAGTTCCGATGGCGTATCCCGAAGCGCATGTGCATGTGTACGTCCCATCTCCCACGTCCATGCATGTCCCGCCGCGACAAGGGTTCACGGGCGAATTTGTGCACGGATTCTGAGGCGCACATTTCGACGTGGGCACTCCCATAACCTCAACCATATTCGACAGCAAGCCACAGTCACATCGCGCGATTCCACCGAGCATGTAGCAACTCCCGCCGCCACAAGGATTGATTATCCCTGCGCACGCAGTTATCTGTGACGCCGACTTGGTCGTCGAGTTGATGAGCAGCGAGGATGCGTCCGTCGATGTGCCAGTGACGGACGCAAGCATGACGATGGTGGAACTCGTCGTTATAGTCGTGGAAGTAGTTAGCGTGGTGGTACTACTGCTATCCGTGGAGAGGGCGGAGGAGAAGAGCGACGACGAGAGGTCGTCCACCTTGTTGATATTCCACTTGCCGCGTGTGTCGGAACAGAATCGGGCGGGTTGCGGCCCCGCTCGGGTAGTAAACCGGGTACATAGCAGGAATGCTGCAGGGAAGGCGGAGTAGGTGGCAAGAGTGCATCAGCGGATGGGGAAGTATTAGAAAACGGCTGAAGTAAGAGGCAAGTGGGTGGAAGAGAGGAAAGAAGCTAAGTAAACTTGCACGTGGTGCTTGTCAAGTTCTGCTAATACGGTTGAGCGCAAACACGGGAAACGTACGATAGGATGCCGCATTTCCCGCGCACGTCGGGCGTCATGGCGAGGTACATGTAGCCGCGGTCGCCCCACGTGGTGTACCACGAGTTCTTGATGATCCAGTAGCTGCCTTTGAGGTCCGGCCCCGTGTAGTTAAAGCCCACCACCACCACCGCGTGGTTCACCTCCGTCAAGCACACGCCGTCGTAGATTCTGAGCACATCGCGGCTCTTGTACATCTGAGAGAAAGGCAGGCAATGTGAGGAGTCGGGAATCGTGGGAGTCGGGAAACGGTTTCAGTAGGTGCCGCGGAGCTTGCGTATGTGGCTCGGAGCCCAAAGAGCGCGCGCGCATGGGACTCAGACTGTTGTTTCCTCGGGAACGAGGAGTCTGTAAGCACGCGGTTGTGGGATGTTGCGGTGAAGATTGCACTTTCAGAGCGGGAGACACAACAGGAACAACAGGAGCGAAGCCAGGAGCAGAACGACAACTTGTGGAGAGGAACATGGGCAGGAGCACGGTACCGCGAAGTCTGAGGTGGAGGCGCTGATGAAGGCGACGACGGGCTGCATGCTGACGGCCTTCATGAGCGCCATGGCGTTGAATGCCGGCACCAGCTCCCACCCCGTGATCTGCGCCACAGACGGCATGGATGTGTCGAGCAGACACGTGGCGGAATCGTACGCCTGGTAGGGGTAGTTCTTGTTCGGACGTGATTCCGCCATTGTTTAAGACGTAGGAGAAGGCCCAGTCGGGCCAGCCGCCCTGGCAGCACTGCTTCGTCGCACAATCGCAAACTTGCTGCGGCGAAAGCGACGAGGCGGTGGCGTTGTTGGCAACGGCCCACATCATAGCGACGGAATCGACGGCTGCGATCGCCCAGCAGCTCGCGCACTGCAGAGGGGCGTGGGTGAGGTGGGAATACATTGATCGCGGTTGGCGAGCTGCTTCCGAGGAAAGCAGCCGACATAGTACCTCTGTTGAAGCAGATAGGTACGCACCACAAATTGCGTCTGGATGGGCGTGATGGCGACGGACTTCCGCCAGTCCGACGACGGGCGGCGGCGCGACGCTCTCCCAGCGGTAGAACGACATGTTCACCACCGCCATGCTCGGCCCCGAGCTGAGCGGCGGCGCCGACAGACCAAACTTCATTCCTGTGTCGGCCAGAACGCGCCCGCCACGCCGGCTTCTTCCCATTTCGCCGCGTTCCGCTCTCAGAATGCGCTCCGCGTGCTGCCGCTTCAGGTCTTCAGGCACTGCCAGCGTTTTGTTGCACGAAAACCTCATACTGCGTTGGATTGCGGATGGGCGCGCCGCTGTCCTCAGGTGAGCCGGTCGACGTGCGAACGGCTACGAACAACAAGAGCAAAACAGCGTGATGCACGCTCGCAATCTTCATGATCAAACTATTAGCCCCGATCGATTGCGGACGATTGCTCTGCGTATTCTCTCGCTGCTCGTCTTTCAGGTTTCTCGCTGATATTTGAAACCGCTTTGAAAGCTTCCGACATAGCGCAAACGCAGACTCGAGCTAGGTGGGACATGGCTGATTTACACTCTCGCCCACAGGACCGATATATTACTTCCTACAATAAATTACTCACTGTCTTCCCAACGCGAGGTTGCATCGGGCTGGATGTGTAGGTCCGATTGCGGGAGGGTAGCTCGGGAGGTTTGAGGTCACGCCACAACCTCTGGCTTGCAATTGCAACTCGAATGCATGTCTGATGTGCTTGTTGCTGCTTGTTGGGGAAGGGCCTGAATTGCAGGACAGCAGCGTGCCTCTTTTGGCCTGAGGAAGCCAACTGTACTGTACACATCCTTCCGCCAAGCTGTACGTTTCTTCTCAGCCGTGCCTGGCCAATCCCAGAATAGAGCTGTCAATTGGTCTGGGGGGTTTGAAAATGAACGGACGTGCGACTTGGTTTGGGTTTGAAATCAACGGTTTCGGCCTAGCCGAGCACTTCATGCGTCCCGTTTGGGGCCGAAGTCAACAGAAGTATGGTTTTCCCCTCATTTCCAGTTTGGTGTCCTTATAAAGCATAGTCTTTTGCAAATAACTTTAAAAAAATGTGTTCATTTGTTCTTCCACTTGGTCTTGCATCTGACCTAGAAAATTCACCATGGCACTGTCGTCACTTGGCTCAATTTTCGTCGATAACCACTGCTGGAGTGAGCGCGAATCAACTCTGTCAAATTATATATATGCTATATATGTTTAGGCTGTAATGGAGTAGCCAATATGGGGTACAGCGCCTTCTAGGGTTTCATATTTGTACCCAACACTTTCCTAGTTGATTGATTCCTGCCTAGCATTCTGACATGGTATTCAGAGCACTAGATCCGTAGGACTGATCTGCCCCACGTCGTGCCTAAGCTGCTCTGCCCGCCGCGCGTTTTGCTTTGCCTGCTCTGCGCTGCCCATGCGCGCCTCTGCCTTGCCTGCGCGCGCTGCCCTAGTCCCGAGCGTGCCGCCTGGTCCTGCCCCGCGCGCCGCCTCTAGGAGCCCGCGCGCGGCCCGCTGCTGCCCCGAGCGCCGCCTTAGGAGCCCGCGCGCGGCTCGCTGCTGCCCCGCACGCCACGTCCGCTGTCCTGTGCAGCCCGCTGCTTGCCCCGCGCACCGCGTCCGCCGCCCGTGCAGCCCACTGCTGCTCTGCGCGCGCTGTCCGCCGCCCGCGCAGCCCCGCTGCTGCCCCGCGCGCCGCGTCTGCCGCCCCACCCAGCCCGCTGCTGCCTAGCGCGCCGCGTCCGCCGCCCGAGCGCGGCCCGCTCCTGCCTCGCGGGCTGCCTTACCCGCCCCGCGCGCCGCTTCAGCAGCCTGCGCGCGCCTCGCCGCTGCCCTGCGCACCGCCCTAGCCCACGTGCGTGCCGCCTCAGCAGCTTCTGCGCCGCCACTGCCGCCCTATGCGCAGCTTCTCTTGTCTGTGCTCTGCCTTGCCGCCTACGCGCTACTCTCACATGCGCTGCACTCATGACGACTCTCAATGTCCTAGCTTTCGATTCCGACGGTCGCCCGATAGAGTTTACCACTTGGCTCGACGACCTGCAACTGTTCCTTCTGACTGATGCCAAAGACGGAGTTTCAATGTTCGATTACGTGACTGGCACTTCCGTTGCTCCTGCTGACACTACTACCGCTCTTCACCGCTCATAGTGGCAGACTCGCGATGCTGCTGCGCGCCTCGCAATTTGCAACCATCTGCCGATCACTGAGTGTGCGCACTTTAGTCAGCACAAGACTGCTAAGGCACTGTATGAGGCTGTAGTTGCCCGCTACTCTTCCCCAGCCACTGCAGCCGTAGGCCGTCTCATGCTACTCTACCTGTTTCCCGACCTGTCCTCGTTTACCACCGCTGAGGACCTCATCTCTCACCTCCGCGCTAGTGACGCTCGCTTTCGTGTCGCCCTTTCAGACGAGTTCCTCGCCGAGAATCACCCCCCTATGTACTTTACTCTCTAGTTCCTCATCACCCGCCTCCCTGATACCATTCGCTCAGTCAGGGACCATTTTCTCGCCCTAGACCCGACCACTCTCACTGTCGCCGACTTCGAGACGCACCTCCTAGCAGTTGAAAAGAACATTCTCGCTGTAGGTGCTGCTCGTGGCAACCCCTCGCACTCCCCTCTTTGAGGGGTGCTCCCCCTCCCCTCTTGCCCCCTCCTACGCCTCTGCTGCAGCTCCTCTCGACTACCTTGGTGCTGAGGAGGTCGGGGCTGCTTCCGCTCCTAGTGGGAAGCGCTACAGCGCCAAGGGCAGCAGGGGTGGCAGGGGAGGTGGAGGTGGCGGTAGAGGGGGCGGTGGTGGAGGCGGCGGGGGTGGTGGAGGTGGTGGGGGTGGTCGTGGGGGTGGTCGTGGGGGTGGAGGTGGTGGTGGGGGCGGCGAGGGTACTGGGGGCAGTGGAGGTGGCAGCAGCGGGAGTGGGGGAGGAGGGAGCGGTGGTGGCAGCGGTGGTGGGAGCTGGAGTGGAGCCGGCCAGAAGGGGAGCTCCAGTGGTGGCCAGGGACAGCAGCAGCCGCAGCAGCAGCGTCAACGTCAGACCCCCACGCCTCAGCAGCTTCATGACTGGTACGCTCAGCGTGGGGCGTCTGGGGATCTTGTTTGCTGCACCGATACCATTCGCACAGATCCCTGTGCTGGTCGACCATGCAACGACTTTCACACGGAGTACCGCTGCTTCTCTCGGCTCAGCGACGCCTGGCGCGTCAAGTTTCCTGAGGCTACTATTCAAACACTATATGTGTTATTATTGTGTAGGCTATAGTGGGTTAGCCTTTAGGGGGTACACAAAGTTAGGGTTTCCTACTTGTACTCCAGCTTTCATAGTGCAATAACTTCTTGTTCGTAACATGGAATCAGAGCAGGTCCTCCGCTAGGACCGATTCCTAGGGCCCACCACTACTGCTACCTACTAGCGCCCTCGTGCGCCCTACTATCGGAGCGCCCTCGAGCGCCTCCCCCCCTAGCGCCCTCGTGCGCCTCGTTTTTCACGGCCCCCTAAGGCCCCACGACCCGCCTCCCTCTTAGCGACCCGCGCGCCGCCCCTTAGAGGCCCCGTCGACCCCGCTCGCCGCCCCTTAGCGGCCCCGTCGGCCCCGGTTGCCCCGCGCAGTCGCCCCCTAGTGGCCCCGTCGACCCCACGTACCGCCCCTTAGCGGCCCCGCTGGCCCCGTCGACCCCGCGCGTCGCCCCACTTAGGGGCCCCAGCCGGCCCCGTCAACCTCAGGAGCCGCCCCTTAGCGGCCCCGTCGGCCCCCTCATCGACCCGCGCGCCGCTCCTTAGCACCCACGAGCTGCCCAGCCCGAACCGAGCTGCCCGAACCGAGCCGCTCAGCCTGAACCGAGCCGCGCCGCTCGAACCCAGCCGAGCCGCCCTACCCGAGTCGAGCCGCCCTACCTGAACCTAGCCGCGCCGCCCGTACTGGACCGAGCCCCCTGCCTACTGTTTTTTAGGGTGCAACTACTGCTACTCTACTGCTGCTATGGATAGCCCTCCTGTGCTAGCTTTCGATGCTGAGGGCCGCCCAGTGAAGTTCGATACCTGGCTAGATGACCTACATCTCTTCCTACAGCTCACTGCAAGGAGGACATCTCACTGTACAATCACGCCCTCGGCCATGCTACTGCTCCTGCTGCTACTCTTGACAGCACTGCCCGCTCATAGTGGCAGACTCGTGACGCCCACGCTTGCTTCGCTATTCGCAACTCCCTGCCGATAGACGAGCGCGAGCACTCTGGCCAGCACAAGACTGCACAGGCACTGTACACCGCTGTCGTTGCCCGCTACTCCTCACCTGCCTCTGCCGCGCTAGGCCGTCTCTCCCTCCCCTACCTGTTTCCCGACCTGGCCTCGTTCCACACAGTCGCTGACCTCATCACGCACCTCCGTACTAGTGAGGCCCGCTTCCGTGCCGCCATGCCCGCTGAGTTCCTTGCCACGCACCCCCCTCCACTCTGGCTCACTCTCTACCACCTCGTCACCCGCCTCCCTGACACACTGCGTGCTGTCAGGGACCACTTCCTAGCTCGTTGCCCCACTGAGCTCACCATTGCCCTCCTCGAGGAGGAGCTGCTTGCAGCTGAGGCTAGCATAATCGCTGTAGGTGCCTCTCGTGGCGACCCCCGCACCCCTTTCTTTGAGGGGTGTTCCCCTTCCCCCCTTCTTCCCTCTGTAGCCTCTGCTTCTGCTGTCGACCTCCTTGGTTTTGAGAAGGTCGGGGCCGC